TAAACTAAATCATTCACAAAAATCGATCATGCACATATGAGTAGTATGAAATTATTGAAGATTTGTACAGTAAAGTTGATGTCAGCAGCAGTTTGAGTCTCATTTCCTACTAAAGAAATCACTCAGCTTGCTTTGCTTAGCTATTCTGAATTTCTTTGTTTCTTTAAATATCTATTGTGTCTGGTAACTGTTCTAATAAATCGGAATGTTTCTGGGCTATAGCAAATTCTTTCAAGGAGAAGGAATAGGGACAGTTAGCAGTGCTTTATTGATCCCTACAATGTTACGTATACAGAAAGAACACTTATCTATTGTATCCTTCCAGTTACATGTACGTGACAACTTGAAAGTTTCCTCCCAAATCACAATTCCCTAAACATTTCGTTCATTTTTTTTCAAAAATTTTCTCGACCTACCTCACTTATGAAATGGTTGATCCCTAATCAAAACATTACTTTGCGCAATCGAAATCTGTGCGACTTCCATGTTATTGTACTGGTGCAACAATAGGAACATGTGAAATATGCCTGGCGGCTTTGGCCGGCCATGGAGGTAATAATGGGCCGGCGAACTGGGGGCAATTTAACATCATTGTTAAAAGCATCTATTGTTACATGTACCGAGGCAGTAGCGACCGGAAAAAAAATTGTTGAACGAATTTAGTTTAGACAACGAGACGATACTGCACACACATTCCCTCGCAGTGATCGATACACACTAACGCAGGGCTAACGGAAACGACTCTTCTTTTTGACCCGAGTTATCATAACCCCGGAAGAACAAGAACGCACATGCGGATGGATAAACAGGCATGGCCGTTGCGTTGATTTTTTTACTTTTTGCCACGGTTACTAAAAAAGAGTAACCGTGTTTTTGCTATCAGTTCCAGTTACATGCGTATTTATCGGTATTTATAGGAGTTCAAAGTGAATAAATATCGATACTAAATAACAAGTGAGCTGTTATGTTTTTTTTGTTGGTAATCAATTCGATCGGGGATTTACCGTCGGCATTCCGATTCACCCCAGCCACATGCATAGGGACCGTGACTGTGTCCTGGCGACTCACAACTTTTGCGGGTCGTCATCGTTGTGATTGCTAGATTCATTAATTGAACAAAATTGTAAGTTATTCCAATGGTATACATATTTCAACAAAACATTAATGACAGCATGTTTTTTTATCAAGACACTTTCAAATTCGTAATTATGTTTTTGGCGTTCCATAGCCATCGGTACGGTGTGCTTGCCGTGGTAAACTGAATTATAAACAAGAATAAAACATAATTGCCGAAGCCATCGGTTGAATGAAAGGTGTGAAAACGTGCTAACTTTGTCCTTTGTCCTTTGTGAGCTTATTAGTTGTCTGAGGTGGAAGGCAGTAGTCTGCAAGACATCCGGGAACTATGCCCGTTATATGCAGTTCAACTGTTCACTGCGGCCGCTGAAGCGTGGCCGTTGGCCGCGTTAGGCAGGTGGCCACTGTAAACAGGGTACTTTACATGTAAAATTCCTAGGGACTGTTCGGTTGTGACCGCTATAGGCAGGTGGCCGCTATATCCAGGTGGCCGTTAACACAGGTTTGACTGTATTTTGAACTGTAGGCATTAATCTGCGATTCAGCCAATGACGGAGAAATATATCTAGGTCAGAGGAGCCCCATGACATCAAGATTTGTCCTCGCGTCACGAACCACATGACCGAATTCACTTCCAGACTCCCTCAAAAACATCAACAACAGAAACAAATTTAAATATGAAATGAAACATTATTTGCTTTGTTAAATTCCTCTATTACCTCCAATTTCTCTGCATTTTTTTACTTTTCTTCTGCATATACATTCGTTGTACCAGTAGTTCGTTTATATTATTATTACACATAATATTTTGATCATTTTGATATCTAAACCATGTAGATTACCTTTCAATTTTCGTTATGTAAATAGTAATTTTCCTTTCCTTTACTAGTAAATTGTAATTCTACTTGATTGGACTAGTCCAAAAGGACTATTTCCATGGTCCACACCAGAATTACTACTATTGTATTTTGTTAATAAGTTCTGTAATAATGGTCATTCTGGTGAAATAAATAAATAAAAAAAAATTTAAAAATGCAGGAAATGGTGTTGTACCTTGCCTGTGCCGTCCCTGAAGCAAAAGCCAAAATGTTGCCATGGTGACAGGGTTTGGTGTGCCCAAGAATGCTAGACCCCAACCCCAATTCTGAGATAACTAGCTTGAAATAAAGACTGAAACAGTTCAAAACTTCTGCTTGAAAGTTCCAGGGAGTGCCGATGGTAGGAATCTGTCTGCAAAATTGCTGAAACTGACTTATCGCCTATGCCTATGCCCAGAGATCCCTGTGGTCGTTCAGGCTGGGTCAGCAACCAAAGTCTGACACACTACGACGGGACCCATCTTAAAGAGACCCTCCTCAATGGATTGAGTATCTCTTAGGTAGTAGTTGATAAAGACGTTCTGCATTCTCCAGACGCCTGCCCTCAGAATATGTTCGAGGAGGGCACCTGATGCTAGTGCTAGTGAGTTAGCAATTGCATGGACCTCATGTGCCCATACTTGGTGTCTCTGTAGAATCTGCGTTGAGGATGCCGAAAGATTAAAACCTTGAGCCTGGTTGCAGTGATCCACCTGTACATGGAAGTCGGGGAGGCTAGTCTGTCCTACTTACCCTGGCCATAACACATAAACTTGTGCTTGCCATGCTCCAACTCCTTAGTACGGCGTTCGTAGCAACTCCGTGCTCGAACCGGGCACAGCAGCAACTCCTCCTGATCCTCCGGATTGGCAATGTTGCCAGCCGGGGGATGACGATCAGTTATGGATCGTGTCCTGGGATTTGCTTCCTGGCGAAAGACCCGATTTGTGTCTTCATCACGACACGATTGTCCATAAAAGCAACACACCTGTCCGAGAAGGACAGGGACCCTAGTTCAGCCAGACGCCTACCTGAGGCAAGGGCGAGTAAGAAGACTGTTTCCACGTCAAAGGATTGAGTGGTGCTAATTAGAGAGGCTCAATGGGAAGTCTGCTTAAAGCGGCCAACACAACTGATAAGTTCCAATTGGCTGGTTCCCTCATTCGGGGTCTAGGCCTCTGATTCAACAGTGAACTGTCTCCTAATGGTAGGACAACCGGGTAGTCTCGTCCCCAGAGAATCCCAATGGTGCCTGGCCAACAGAGGAATGGCATAGATCTCCCTTCCACTACACCAATCAGTGTACGCACGTCATCTTGAGGCGTAGACTGTGTTGGTGGTATCCCTGTTCACCCTGGCCAGAACGTTGGCAGCTCACTCAGAATGAGTGAGTCAACTGATAGCTTTGAGGCGTGTAAGTGGTACATCGCTGGGCTCAAAGGCAGTGTGCCGTTCGGTTGGGACAGCAGATCCAGAAGTCCAGAAGCACCCCTTGTGTTTCGACTAACATTTCCAACAGTAGTGGAAACCAGACCTTGCTTGGCCTGTTGGGCGCCACCAGCGTCAAAGTGCAGATGCGCTCCTGTCGAAGTTTCTCCAGTACACAGTGAATAGCGGGAAGGGAGGGAAGGCGTACACATCCATGTGGGTCCATGGGGTCGACAAAGTGTCCCTGGCCCGACAAAGTGTCCGTGACCCAGGTTCCTGTAGTTGGCAGAAGTGTCATGTACGTCAGGAGCTTGGTGTTCCGGGGTGTGGTAAATAGGTCTAACCTTGGACCATCCAACCGCCGGAACAGTCTGGAGGCTACCCATTGGGGTATCCGCCACTCCACGCTCTGGGGCAGAGCTGCCACGAGATGGCGTTCGCTTGACTGTTTCTCGCCCCTGGAAGATGGTGTGCGGCTAGCTGCACATGTATTTCAGGTACCAAAGGAGAATTTGCTCCGCTACGACTGACAACAATGGGGATCTGCCCCCCCCCCTCCTTGTCCATTGTGTTGACCGTGCGAAGCAAGAGTCTGTGGTCTCGAACTAAGGGTAGAATGTGAATCAGTGCTAAGCGCACTTGTTTCAGTTTGAGCCAGTTGATATGGCAGCCCTGAATCTAACGCAGGGGCCGTATTTTCCAATGGGCTTGTTCGTCCAATAGGTGCGCTCCCCATGTGAGGGAGGCATCTGTTTCCAGAGTCATAGCTGTGGTGAGTGGGTCTGCCTGAGGTTGGCAATTGCCGACCACCAAGGCAAGGCATCCCTCACATGGTCCGAGAGTGTTACTTGCCTCTCCAGTTTCTGTAAGAGAGCCCGGTGTTGCAACAAACGTGTGCCGTAATAGGCATCACGAACGCGGTCTGGTGGAACTATCATGCGAACTGCAGATATCATTCTGACGATCTGCATCAGTTCTCGGAGGGACACTGACTTGGCGTTTGGCTAGGTTGTTTAGGCAACAGGCCTGCGGCGACCGTACCAAGCCCAACTCCATGTCGAACTCCCTGCCCAGGAACACCAACTGTTGTGTTGGCTGAGACTTGCTCGATTTACTAGGAAGCAC